ATCACAGAGGCTATTTTGACACTGGATTTCATGAAAAGTGACGCCCATAGGCAGCTGGGGACAAGTAACACCAGCACATGGACCTATTTCGGGACTGATGTGAGTCTCATGTTTTCCATTCAGCTCATGACCTCTGCTGACTTCAAGGGACGCTATATTTGTGAACAGACTTTGGGAGCGCTGTTCTTTTACTCCCCGTTAAAGGGGGTCTCAATATTCCAAGGGCCTCATAACTACCTATGAGCTTTGAGACATAATGGTTTTTAGTGGGTTTAAATCCCAAGGACCTCAGGTTCTTAAAAGGTTCAGATGGAAGATTCCTTTATCTGTGTCTTGAAAGCTCTAACAAAAAGAACTGAAATTATCACACATGACCTGTGAACTGAGGGGGAAAGAGGACCTTTTGCCACGTTTCCTGCACATTTCCTTAAAAGCAACCTGGGAAGAAAGTGAGAAAAACTGCTCAGTTCTAATGAGCACCTAATGGGTAGGAACACCCAGGGATTTATTTTGTGAATGCTTCAAAAAATGGCTGAGGTCTTTAACCACTAAACTGCCAGAAAACGTGTGGCCTTATTAAGCATCAGCAGAATAACGGACCAGTGTTTGAGAATCATGAATGTGGCCTTTTTGAATTCCCAAAGTATACACGGATATTTTCTTTGATTTTCCCTTATTGCAGATACATAAAAACGATACTGCTTTGTTCAGGAGACTCGGGACACATGGTGCTGCATGCTTCTGCAGAAACACATCCCACATTAAATTAAGTTAGAGGTGGTATTTGAAAAATAAATAAATAATGGAGCTCCAATTCACTGCAAATGGTACAGGAGGCCCGTAAGTGGGAAGCCTACAAGAGAAGGACTTCTTTTAGAAAGATGTTTTGCAGGACTTTTTCTGCATCATTAACTCTTCTGGAATCCTGAATATAACATGATGAATTTCTCTAAAAAAAGTAGCTACTGTTTAATTTTGAATCACTTCAAAGAGCCTCAGTAGAAGGAATCAAAGAAAACCAAAAAGACCAGTAGATGTGAAATTTGCCAAGAAAAAAAAAAATGAAGGTTCTAACAGATTTTGACCATGTACTGAAAATACCACTGATTATTTTGCTAATACAGTGTTTTACTGTTCCATGTGGCTGAAATAAGTCTCTGTATTCATCGGAACACAGGATATTTTTATTACAATATTTGTGTCATAGCTCTTTAAAAGGAAACATATTTAAAACCTTGAAAAGAATCTCTGTCTTAAAATGGTTCTTGATGTGTAGGTGAGTGTGTGTGTTTTACTATAAACAGATACTTAATTGGAGTTCACATTGCTCAAAAGAGTAAAAACATACTGGTTGTCTTAGTCCTATCTTCAACATATAGTTCCAGGAAAAATACATAATTTTTAAAAAGCAAAGCAATTTGGAAGGTGGGGAAAGGAAAGAAAGTTGGCTGGGATATTCTAATGGTTGTTTGATAATAATAAAAATCATCATTATCATCATCATCATCATCATCATCATCATCATTGGTCTTTAAAAATGTCTTTTACATAAAACCTGCCCAAGGGAAAAGAAAGAAAACCTCCTAAAAATTCCACATCCCTGAACACCACTACATCAAAAACCATCTGGAAAATCTCAGATAATGGTAACCGCCCACCTAAGAAATTCAGTAAACTGTCTTCAATCACCATTTAGAATAATCAACTCAAATTGAAATTTCAATTTGAAAACCCTCAGAAGACAAAGCTGGGATTAGGAATCAGATTTTAAAAGTCTTCTTAAAAGACCATCTGTTTATAGACACCCTTCTCACATCCCACCTTGTCCCTGATCTGTACCATAAGTTCACAGCAGAAGCAAAGCTGAATTTAAAGACATATACACATGGCTACTATGAAGTCTAGTTATCACATGTAGTTCTGAGCTTGTCTCAAGTTTCCCTTGTTATGTAAGCACTTAGGGGCAATAAAACTTCACTTACATTCAGCAGCATTGTGAGTCTCAAAACATTAGTCTACCTGACTGTACAATCGTTTTACTGGCAGTGGACAGCCCTGGTATTTTATTTATATTGATCATATTGTCAATGCTATATGGAATAACCATTTAGTAGCCTATTAACCTGTAACGTTTTATTACTGTTGTTAAATATCATTACCCATGCTGAACTCCGTATTAGAAAAATCAGGTTGGAAAATCTAAATATTCAGAAAGAACTACAGAGCTGTTGGTTCCCACCCCCCATAATCTGCAGACTGATGAGAAGAAAAAAAAAAAATGAGTATCCACTTCTCACAGATAGAGGTCACTAATGGACTGAATTTGAATCACTGTAGCAGAAACCACAAAGTTACTAAAATAATCTAGTGAAAAATGAACTTGAATTGAAATTAAAGTAAAAATACCAAAAGATGATTCTTCAGAAAGGTCTGACCTGAATGGAAATAAAATTGCATCACCTTGCTCTTTTTTTCTGAATCTTCTAAACAATGAACAAAACCGAAAGCCCCCCTACCCTTTGCTGTTTTTTAACTTCAGACACTGCTGATCACAGAAGCAGCAATTCTTCCTTGTAGGGTATAAGACTGAAGAGTCAAACTAGATCAGATGTTCACACTGAGTCTCTACAGAATAAGGCTTCTGGACATACATACTTGAGGCTTTCCTGAAACCACAGCTTCAAACTGGGAAGATATAAGGTTGCTTCAGGGAGATATGTCTAAATCCTAAACCAAACTCTCCAGCAGGCCAGAATATAAATGTAACGGGCATCAGAGGAGGTTCAAATTAGATCCAGCCGGTCATAGTCAAACTCGGATAAGATCACATCATCTGAAACCTAGCATACAGGGGAAAAACCATGACTGCCTAGGGGACCTCAAGGCAGCCCAACATGGTGTCATTTGTGAATCTACTTTCTTCTGTTAAAAGCATCCCCTGGAATTTCTAAAACTGCAGTGAAACTACTGAAGTGTTAAGACATGGGCATTTTTTTTTTTTTTTAAACCAGCATTCTTTCCATGCTAGGTTTGTAATACGTTCTGCTACACGGCTAGCCCACTTCTTACAATCTCTTGTACCTACGGGCAGAGACATGGAATAATGCTTGAAATTTCATCTTCCAACCTCCTCCGCTCAGATATTTGCAACTCAACATAACAGTATGGTACTGCACCTCCACTGCTGATTATTAAAAATTCTTAAATGGTTTAACCCTATCCTGTTTGGGGCTTTTGAGGAGGAGAGGAAGAAAAGTTGTATTTGGAGGAACAATAACATCATGGGGAAATAAGCAACTTTTCATGGCATGTGTATTAACCAAAGATGTATTCTCTTCTAATATGGTGGCCTGTCAATCTTATGTACCTGGTGCATATTGCTTAGTAATTAAAAAAGAAAAAGTCCAGTTCTGTTAAACACTTTAGATACTGACCTAACATTTTACATTCGCACTGCAACAACCAAATACATCCCTGGACGAATGCCAACCTGCATTCTATTACCTCAAAATGTTTGGGGATCCTTTCACTGTAGACTTAGGAAGGTCATATCACTTAAACCCACAAACAATATGGATTCCTATATGGAAGCTAGCCTACATTTTAGCTTTTGGCTAGGAGAAGTTAGACATAATAAATTTAGCAATAAGCCTCTGAGCAAGGGGACATGCCCCAAAGCTCCCTGAAACCCTGTGTGATTTAAGAGCCTCCCAGCTGAGTGGTAAGTAATAGCTCCCATTTAGATGGGGCTTTGCACAGCAAATGCAGAATGTGAAGAAATCTAATCAGCACCTTGCACTCTGCACTAGCATTTACACGGATTTGTGCTTTGCACTTGATTAGCTTACTGCAAGCTTTACAAGAGATTCCCTCCGCTAAAATTAATCAAAAGCTCTTGGAGACTGCTTTCCATTTACAAGAGAAGTCAAGATGAGCTTCCAGGTGAATAAATAATGATCATAATAATGATGACAGAAGCAGCAAATATTGAGCTGCTTTGAGACTCAGCTGGGGGAAAGGGGGCTGTGGAGAGTTGGGGCTGAAATCTTTCTGTAGCTCTCTGAGGGAAAAGCAGGAGCTATTTTCTTAGTTAACCTAAGTAAGGCTGCTGTTCGGGAAACGTGACCATATTCTCTTTCTGCTGCCCCTGGCCCCAAGTGCACACACGGGACCACTTGCTCCCCCCACACCATGGTGTGTCAGGCCACTGAGAACAACCAGCCTCTCTGCAAGGCCACTAACCACCCCCCCAACACACACACACACACACACACACACACACACATCACTGTAAATTCATGTTGCCAATGGCTAACACGTTTCATCTCATACTGCAATAAAAATGTGACTTCTAAAGTTTTTATTTTATGACGCCAGAAGGTGAATGGAAGGAGGGAGGAAGGGAAGACTCCGGGGATGTCAAAGGGGGAAAAGGTAATTTTTTCCCTTTACTTGATTCTCTCTCTCTTTCTCTCTCTCTCTCTCTCTCTCTTTCACACACACACACACACACACACACACACAGATTTGCTTTCCTGCACCAATTAAATGAGGTGGGCGAATGGGAGTGGGCTCCTATCATTTTTAAAAGATGCTAAATAGGGCTGAGAGAGTGAGAGGGTGAAGGTGAGGAGGTGAGGGTGGGAGTGAGTGAAATCCATGCATCACTCTCCCGGATTGAAGAATACTAGAAGCCCCTGAATCCACATTCTCAATTTCCAACGAGCTACAAGATGAGGCCCCAGCTAGGGCCGAGGGTTCTCATCCATCCCCGGGGGAGGCTCACCTCCCTGCACAGCTGCCCACCTAGGGCAGAGAAGCGCCGCGGGCCCCTCTAACCTGACTGTAGATCTCCCCGCGCTAGGTGCCCATCCCCGACATCTTGAACTTCGCCGCCTTCTTACTTTCACTCAGATCTGGCGAGCGTCGGGAAAGGCACTGGGAAGGAGCAGGAGCTCAGCGGCGGGGCATGGAAGGAGAGGGTTGGGGGTGAGCGTTACCTGCGAAGGTTCTCGAGGTCTCCTTCCAGCCCCGGTGGTAATCTCGCTCAGCGCCGCGTCCTCCCCCAGATCCAAACTTTTGCTGGGTCCTCCGAGTGGCGGCGGCGGCGACGGTGGCGGCTGCCGAAACCCAGCCTGCTCGCCCGCAGCGTCGGGGCGCGGGGGTGCGGAGGCCGGAGCCTCAGAGCGGCGCGCGCCTCCCCGCAACGGGCCGGAGCCCCGGCGCCCCTCTCGCCTAGCTCGCTCTCGCCTTTCTCCTCTACGGAGCCGCGGCATCGTCTTCCCCCGTCCTCCGCCACCTCCGCCTCCAGGGCTCGGGCATGCCACCTTCTCGCGGCTCCGGGCGCCGCGGCCCCCGCCTCCTTTCCTCCTCTGCCTCCCCCTCTCCGCCTAGACCGAGCCACGAGTCCCGAAGGAAGCAGGGCGCGCGGGGAAGGCAGCGGAAAGAGGCCCCGCAGCGCCTGGGCTCCTCAGAGGCGGAGGACCTCGGGGGGCAGCCGGGGATCCGGGCGGGCGCTCCGCGGGCGCCTGGAAGCCCACCGCACGGAGCCGGGAGCAGGGCGCTGCGCGGGGCTGCGCGGGGGCGGGCGCGGGGCTCGCTCCAAGTGCTGCGCCGGCCCGGCGTGGGTCCCGAGGCTGCTCCGACCTCACTGCTGCCTCGATCGGATGCGCCGGGCTAATGTAGACGCCGCGGCCCCCGCCCCCACCCCTCCTGACACCCCCGGGAGATGTTTACAGTAATGAATGCGCGGGATCGCCTGCGTCGCCCCCGCGCTCCTCCTCTCCCTCGGTCCCTCGCGCTCTGGCGCGCTCCCCTCCTCGAGCCCTCTTTCTCTGCCCCCCTCCTTTATTCCCTCCCTTTCAGAGTCCCTCCCACATTTCTGGTTTAAAGAATGCTTGGGAGGCGCGGCTGCAACCCTTGCTTTCCAAGAGGCAAAGTCGGACTCGGTTTTTAACTCTCTCCTCCCCGAAGAGAGTTGCAGACGCCTGGACCAACACCATGGATGCCACCCTGACCGAGCAAGCCTTCTCCTCTCTCTAGCCAGCATCATCCCACCCCCAACTCTTAGGGATAATGCCACCGTCTCAGCGCTGGAAGTCGATTTCCTCCCTGCCCGCTTGGGCTGTACTTCCAAGCCACAGGATCTATTACTTAGACACTGAGAAATGATCGAAACGTGAAATTAGAGGGTAAAAATATAACAAGTCTCTCAACCAAGATGGCGTTATTTCAAATGAAGGCAACCCTGATGATTTGCGACCCCCACCCCCACGCCATCACCAGTTAACTCCCTGATCCCGGGGCTTATTAAATAACTTTAATTGGAAACATAATCCGAAGTTTAACATGATTATTTTGAACACCTATTTTCTGCCTTCACTCTGGCTGCTGGGAAAAAAAAAAAAAAAAAAAGGTTGTTCACTTTCCCCATAGATTACAACGGATAACTAAATTCAGCCTCAAAGATTCAGGAAACAGACTTGACAGCAAAAGGAGCCTGATTTGTATACGGGCAATGTTTCCACTTCGCAATCTCTTTGAAAAGGTTAAAGAGTAATGTAAGAAAACCAGGTGCACGTCTGTTTCTTGGAAAACATATTTTAAAAGGTTCTGGTTTTCTCCTCTCCTTTCATTGTCGCTCCTTCTGCCTCTAGTAAGTTGCTGTCATGTTTTAACAAGTCTGTGGAGAGGCTGAATGTGAACAGAAGAGGGAGAGCGAGCTCGAGCCGAGGCTCCAGGCTGCGCCGAGACGCCCGTCGGTGGGGCCACGCGAGAAGCAAACGGCGAGCTTGAAACTAGCTCAGGACCAACTCCCTAGGTATCCGCGGGGCTGTCTCGACCAAAGGTTGCGCAGGGGCGGTGGCCTAGACTGGCTCGGGAGGATTTCCCCGTCCTCAGTTCAAAGTGTGAGTCACTTGGCACCACTTTCCCAATTGTTTTTATTTCCTTCGCATCCTAGTTGAGTCTACCGCCTTCACTTATTTGAGTGCCTTCGTCGTGTTAAGAGGACTTGGAGAAACGCCCCATTTGCCTCCCAAGCACAAGCCACGCATGGATCCACCCAGACGCACGGCCGAGACGCACGCTGGCACACGCTCTCACACACGCTCACACACGCACACACGACCTGGGTTTGTGCCCACGGGTCGCTGCTCCTGTTGCATTATGCAAAGCGGTCAGGAAAATACTTTGATTTACATCGACATAACCTCTCTTCTCCTCAAACTCAGTGTGTGACTAACAAGTATCCAGAGGAGGAGGGGGCACGCCGGGGGGGAGGGGAGTTAATTGGACTAGGACAGACAGTGAGTGCCATCTTGCTGGGAGGTTCCAGGAGCAAAGCGCCAGCGTCGACAGCCACGGTGGCCTCCACCTCCACCAGCAGCTGTCGCTGGCCGGAGCCCCACGCGATCCCGGAGTTTCCCGGGCATCACTGAGAGTCCAGTCGGCCCCAGTCACCCCCTTCCCAGATACTTAATTTCCCTGGTTAATGACCCGACCTCAACTGGCAACCTTGATCTTGGGCCCGATTAGAAATGAGAAGTGACCGCGCCCGCGCTGAAGGCGCGGAGACGAACCCGGGACTGGTCAGCGCGGCGGAGGGATCTTTTCAGGCGACTCCGAGTCCGCGCGGGGACACGGTGGCAGCTGGCGAGGCTCTGCTCCCTCCCTCCTCGCCGCCGCCTGGCCCCGGCACTTAGATCTGGTGGGGCGCCCGGCGCTTTCCGCCCCCTCTCGGCGCCCCACGCACGCGGCTGAGACAACGCAACCCCAGTTCAGCCTGGTGTGCTGTCTGCGCCTTCGTCGCCCCCCTGGCGCGCGGGGAAGACGCGCGGGTCCGAGCTCAGTGCCGGGCCACTGAAGACCAGCAAAGCTGGAGAAAGACTTGGTTTGGGGCAAAAAGTAACCCTCTCCCCAACTCGAAGGAAAATGCACTGGCATCCTCGGCATCTTCTTAGCCACGAATCAATCCCGGATTGCGGGCAGGAGGCGGGCTGGTGGCTTTAGATGCAACCGCTTGATAACATCGGTGACATTATCCGCAGATGGAGTGGACGCGGGGGTGGGGGAGTAGGGGGTGTTACTCCTAGAAGTTATCCTATCCATTCTGGGGAAGTGAGAGGCTGGATTACAGCAAGCTTAATGGCTCTAGAACCCCAATTTGGGATCGATCCTCCCAGCAGACTGGCAAATGTGTGTTTTGACCCAAAGCTCAGTTACAAAACTCTTTCGAGGAGGCGAATTCTACCTGCAAATAGACCTCCCTAAAGTCGGGGGGAAGAGTTAAGCAGCCTATGCTCTCTCTGGAGGCAAGAAAAAGCCAAAACATCTCATCCCATTGACCACCCTACGCTGGTTCAAAAAATAATAATAAATAATAAAATAATAATAATAATAATAATAATAATAATAATAATAATAATAATAATAAATGTCTATCTCCCCACAACCGCGTAGCAGGAGCCCTGGCTGTTATGGGAAACTCCACCTGGCACCTCTGTCCCTTTACCTGGCGGCCGCCGTGTCTCCTCGCAGCGCGCTCATCCGAATCCGACCGGGTCGGGGAGGTGGAAAGGGAAGAAGCTGGCGCGGCAGCCGCGGGGATCCCGGGGCATGGTATTGTTTTAGGGGTCACCGCCAAGGTCCCTCCTGCCCATCGTTGAGAACCGCCAACCTGATCCCGGGGCTGGGTGGACACAGCGGCAGGCGCAGCTGCTAGACGCCCGGAACCGAGGGCCAAAGACGCACCCCGGGAGGAAGCAGCGCCGCGCCTTGGCACGGAGATTGCGGCCACTGATGTTATCTCGGAGCGCTCGTTCCTCTGCGGTGACAATGGAAGACGCCAAACTCGCAAGGGACAGCGACAGGTTTCGAACGTACAGCTAACTACCAGGTACCCAGCCTGAGACTGTAGGCTGTTTCCCCCCTCCCCCTTCTCTCCCTCCTACTGGGGAGGGAACTGATTTAACCCCGTGTGCGCCCTGCACTCCCTGGAGAAGCTAGAACTGACTCGGAAACCGCAAGCGGCGGCCTCTGGGGCGAGAGCTTTGTTCACGTGCGTCTCCAGGGGGTGTGTTACTGTCTGGGGGCATTCGCCTGGCAAGACGCCAGGGGCAGGCTTCCAGCGCCAGACTCCGGCATGGGAAGGAGCCCCAGCGTTTCATCCGGACCAGACCCAGCCCTCGGAATCTATTTTTTGCCTCCAGTTACCAGATTTATTGAAGCTGCAAGCAAAGTTGGGTTTTATTCCTTTATTTCTTCCTCTTTCCCGCCTCCCGTATTATTTCCTTTCCTGCCGGTGCTTTGAAGATGTGGAACTCTCCGCTCATTCTAATTCTAGCTTATAACTGTTTTGCGTGTGCGAGACGACTGGTGGAGGGTACCCATCCACCCACGCAAAATTTAAATGAAACCGCAGGGAAAGCTGTCTCCCACCCACTCACCCAGTGTAGGCAATGGCGAATGACCACATATTCAGATAAGGCCAAGACGCCAGAAGATGGGGAAGGGGCTGGTTTGAGGGAGCTGTGAATAGGGAGATGGAAGGGAGAGAGAACGTGCCTTAGAACGGAATGAACAGGGGAAGCACAGACAAGAATGATGATGCAGAAAATATATCTGAGTCCCAATACTGAAAACAGCAGGTCAGCTTCAGTGCCTAAATTTTGATCGGCAGTATTTCCCCAGCTCCTTTGGAAGCCGAATGAATGAACGAGTGAGTGAATGAATGAATGAATGAATGAATTTGGGGGGTTGTTTTGTTTTAATGAGAGAGAGAAAGTGAATAAGTGAGGCTCAGCCTTGGCCGCACAGATGCTTTGCATTTTGTAAACAGCTTTGTCTAAGTGTTCCTGACTCCCAAGAAGTAAACTGGAGTTGGAGGCGAGTCACCTCCTAGACGTGAAATGGAAGCTCAGACAAGAGAAACTGACAGCTCAAGGCCTCTGCTGTCACCGGCACAGCCCAGCGAGCCAGAACGTCGCCCACAGCGCAAACTCAGACAATCTTCTACAGATTCCTTTTTTCTCCATCTCCGTTCTGGACTAAAGAAAGAAAGAGTCTTTAAAAATCATTTAGAGGGTAGCACGTGGATCTTGCGAAAACTGAGTTATTTTTAAAAGAAAAAAAAAAAGTGTTTCTCCACAGGATAGATGTTCTAAGTTCTCTCTGCAACAAACCCAAGCCAATGGGAATCTGTAATAGCCCTTTCAAACGCCTCCGGAGCCGGGCTGTGCGCACGGAGGTAAGGGGAACACTTTCCAGCCGGCCTGGTGCAGAATTTCCTTGTAAATCCTTCTAGTTTGCCAAGGTGGCAGCAAAGCATAGGGAGAGCTCTTCAGCCAGCCGAATCAACACGGAAGACCACATTTTAGGACAAATACTAATCTACCTCCTTTTAAATACTCATCTTCTTGTGTTTAAGTGTACATAAGTATCCACATGAGGTTCTTTGAAACCTTGATCTGAGGTAACAGTATAATTATTTCATCTTTAAGAATACGTTTCTGTTTAAAAGAAAATGGAACTCCGTGCAGGTTTTACTTTCTGATTTATGCTGCCAGAAAATGAGTAAGATTAAAAAAGTGAGACGAGGTGGCTGCAGATGTACAAAATTTGTATTTTAGATGATAGCTTTTTATAAATTATAAACAAACACTATCATCTGTCTGTGCTCCCTACTAAAGGCTATTGATGGGATGACTGTAATCAGGACAAGGAAAATTAAGTACAGAAAGACATCACATCAAATGTATGAACAGAATAACTGTAACAAGTTTCTTAACCACATGATCCATAAGTCAGCTTTAG